CCTGGAACAGCACAAGATAAGATGACTGTTTGGTACACTGAACTTCCTGCTGGTTTGTTGTTTGTATTTATATGCAATTCTTTTCATGGAGATGAGGATAGAAAAGAAGACATATTCATATGAAAGACTGATTTGAAAGCAAAGGCAGGACTCCATTCCTAGCATGGGCAGATTCAGGATTTTGTAAAGGATGGTGCAGGAGCTAGTGCTGCAGGATTGCCTGCAGCCCTGCTTTCAGCTTCCCCCTCCCACTGCCCAGAAGTGAGTTAGGGACAGTGGCGGCAGCAGCAGGGGCAGGTGGGCTCTGGGGTGGGGGTGGGGAGGGCAGACATGCTGCTGAGCACAAAAAAGAAAAAGGAGGTGGGGAATTCCTACATGATTTGGGGACTTAAGTCCCTGACCGCTGCTCCCAAGGCATGGCCTGAAAAGGAGTGCATGTCACTGTGGTAGTGCATCCCACCTCTGGATATGTCTCTGTTTTCTAGTCAATCAGATGAGCTGAATTGCAACAGAAGGAAAACATTCTCTTGGACATTTGGACCAGATTCTGCCCTCAGACATAAATAACTCCCATGTCAGTCAGCTGGAACCGTATGCATGCATCTGGTGCAGAATTTGGTGCCACCTTTGGAAATGCAGGGAAGAATGGAATATGTACACATCTCTGGAATATCAGAACAGATCTTAAAGAGAAAACTCTCCTTTTGGTTTAGAAAAAGGCCCAGGATCATAGGTGTTTTTTGAGGCCATTTGGATTGAAAGGGGTAGAGAAGCTGACAAGAAGAAAAAGGCTTATATTTATGCAGAGGAATGTGGTAAAAACTTGACTGCTGCTTCTATAGAAGAAGCAGGCCTATTGTCCTCTCTGTCATCTAAGAAAGTTAATCAAAGTTTGGGGCTGGATTGCATCTCTCAAGAAAAAGGATGGATGAGGATCAAAGATGCTATGGAGACATGGGGTGGGACATCTATCCCACAGATCTCTGTGGCATGTTTCTATGGAAGAAGGAAGATGCCAATCAGGACAGCAAATGGGAAGCCCTCATACATTTTTCCACTGAGGTAGGGGATCTCTGCAACAGGAACCTTGGGAATATTTTTACCCTCAGACCTCTCTCCTATTGCTTCTGTGAGAGGGAATAATCTGAAACACTGTGTGAGTAATGTTCACTAACAGGCTTCCTGTAGCGCTTAATATGCAGTGATAGGAACTGCATGAACACTGGACTTTTCTGATCAGTATCAGTTAACACATCATATGGCATGATCCATATCCATATGCATTCTGTTAGATTTTAAAAGACCATCTCAGGCTTGATCTATGATCTCTTTACTTACAATGTGTATAAACTTACTAGAATCTTAATGTTGAACGATTTACTCTTGAACTAAATTACAGACCAGTCTGACTTGTGTACGGCCATAGCAATTTTTCTGAAATCACAGAAGTTGCTTTAGCTTTACAGTGGTTTAACTGAAAGCAGAACTTGATTCAAATAATATCCTTATGTGCAGCAGTATATACACTGTGTATCTGGTATGCAGTGGAATCATCACATTTGGAAAATAGTGTATGATGCAGATTTATCCTGAATTTAAAGTGAAATCAGCAGTAATTCATTGTTCTAAAAAAAATTTTCCATTCCCATCATGGGCACCCTCTCCCCCATACACCAGGGCAGCCGGAGACAGCAACAACAGTGGGCAGGGAAGGGTAGAGGAGGTGCTGTTGAGCATGGAGGGGAAGGGAAAAGAGAGTTCTCGCTTCAGAGTCTTGAAAAGATCTCTGGCTGCTTCTCCAGCAGTGTGCTCAACTGAAAGGGAGGGTCTGCCTTAATTTCTCTAGACCGGGGCATCAAACTCATTTGGCCCTGTGGATCAAATGCAGGTTAGCTGGGCTGGTCTTCTGGCTAGGCCAGGACTGACCCCCTGTCCAGCAGTGGGTCAGGCCTTCATGCCGCATGCAACACATACTGGTCACAGGGCTTGCTAGGAAAACACCACAAGAGATGGGCATGGGGACCATGCTGCCCATAACATGAGCTGGACCCAGTGCTTCAGGTAGCACAGGGGGTCAATTCAGGATGCTGCCTGCAGCCCACACTCTGGTACCCCTGTGCCATGTGCAGTGTGGGTCCAGTCCTCATGCCAGAAGCAGTGCATACCCCATGCTAGGCTTGCATGCTGCATGGTGCCTGCTGCGCACAGTGCTGGGACTGGACTGGCTGCACATGCTGCATGTGGCACAAGTGGCTGGGGGAGGGGGAGGGGGCAACACTGCATGCAGCTCCCTGCCAGACAAGCCCTTTGTGCTGGTTCTGGCACAACCCAATCCTGACCAGTCCTGGAGCCAGCATGCAGGGCTGGGCTGGCAGGGTGCTACATGCAGAACGTGCTTTGAACTGTTCCTCTGTGCTGTGTACAAGGTGTAGCATGCAACGCCAGGGCCAGTATATGGGGAACATCTAGTGACCCACAGGCCAAACTGTACTGCTTCACAGGCTGCATTTCTGACACCCAGATCTAGTCCATCAGCATCATTCAGTGTTGTGAGTCAATGAACTAAACTGCCCCCTAGCAAAGCACAGAGTTGAAAAGTCACTCCTCCCCAGGGAAGAATACTGCATAAACATTCAGTTTAACAGCTTCCTGCTCCCTGATTAGATCATTAGACATTTAAAATAAGTAAATATCTACAATTGAGACAACATCAAAAAGGCTCTGCTCTGCAAATAAGACATCTGCATGTTCAGGCCTGATGATCTTAATTTCTTTGGTTAATTACTACTCATCAAAAAGATACGAAAGTGGTGCATGCAGAATAAAATGAGATATCAAGGGGTGTATCTCCTGAATATTTTTCAGCTCAGTCTAGGCAGTAACAGTCAGCATCTCATGCTGCCCTAACAGGAACTCTTCATGATAAAAATAGCTACTCAGACCTGCTACTGGATTGTCTCGAATGCCTAAATTGCTCTCTGCCAGTGGGAACCCAAGGCAGCTCCAATCCACCAGTAATTACAAATTTTTATTAATCCTTTTTAATTAACATAATTATGAAAGAGAGAGTGTTGTACTGACTTGATCTTTTATATACTTTTATCCACAAGGAAACAGTTCCAGAAGAAAACCATTCTGTAAAAATGCTATTAATATGGATGAAATGTCAACACTTGGACAAAAGCAGGACAAAGCTGAATTGCTTCTTTTAGCATGACTGTGCAATGAAAAATGAGATTCATGGTTTATAATTGAAAGTATAAATGCAAAGGTGTGGGCAGATGAAACATCGCTATGTTACAGGTGAGGGGGTTACCCTTTAAAACTCTGAAGCCAAGCTCAGTGTCTTTGAAGGTACAAGATTGATCAACTAAAAGGTAAGGCCATATACAATTGCAACATAACCTTCTCATCCTCCGCATCCTGACAGTATTTCTCAGTTGCATGTAAGTAGCTGCTTCTCAGGTTAATGGTGTACATTGCTTTGTGATTATTCAATATTCTTTAATATTTTTATTGACAGGCAAAATACAAGAAGTATCAAGATACCATTTACACTTAGTGGCAAACTTGGGTTTTTTCCCTCTAAAAATAGGGAATGAACTTGCATATAAACTAACCCAAATAAATTAAAACAACCTACTTCCCTTTCCCATTAAGATCTCTGCTATGGCTCTTAGCTGCTGCCCTGTGTTGGAGATAAGTTGGAGCTGCTCTGCATCAGAAGAAGCACTGGTTTCAAAGAGCTGTTGAAATTTCACTGTAAATACCTGTTTGAGCAAAACGCTTTCTCATTCTCGGTGAGAAAACTACCAAAAAAGCAAAATCTACAGTAAGTTTCAACTTTTCAGGGTGTGTGTGTATATGTGTGTATTTATATTTTATACAAAATTATTGTTTTTCAAGAAAGCAAATATATATAATTGTTTAATATAATATTTAATAAATTTGTTTGTTTTTTTTGAAAAACAACTTTTGCCCTAAATCTGATTGCAGGAGGGGGGAGCAGTTGTGGGAGATGTGAAAGAATTTTGCTAAATCTCTTGTGAAACCGGACTCTTTGAACAAGCTATTGAGTTCTCCCTCTAAGAAGGAAGCACTGTTTAAGCTGTTCCTGAATGGCCATGGACTGCAAGCCTCACCTCTTCTAAGGCTTTCTGCTAGCATCCTCCCCCTTATGTCTGCATCACCACAACAAGAGTTGTTATCCTGCTCTACAAAACATTACATGCATTTCAGTATGGTATGAGGTTCTTCAGTAGTGTATTCTCATTCATGCTGAAATACCTGCATGTCTAAATAAATATCAGTCCTGCCCACATCCATACACATTGTTTCTAGCTTAAACTTAACCTTATGTCAAATAATGAAACCTGAACATTTTGGTCCCTCTGTCTCAGAAGTATGTTTGAACCCTTTTATAGCTGTGGAACATATCAAATGGAGTCAGAGAAGGTGGTCAGGTTCTAGAGCCTTGTCTACAGGGCTGGAACCCAATTACAGTATAGTTCAGAGAGCATTTGCACTACCTATTGCGTTTATTTCCTTGCTTCAGGTAAAAAGGAAAAAAAACTAGAAAATTACCTATGAAAAATTATCCTTGCCACACATGCATGTAAAATATTTCTAGGGTCAGAAATCACTAACCAGCATAGTCTGGTCAAGTAAGACTGCGAAGTCCTACAACAGTAAGGCAATTATGATGTTTATTTTTTTTCCCTATCATTACTTTTTGATTTTTGCATACAAAATTGTTTTGTAATCCCTGCCAATGCAAGAGCTAAATTGCAGAGCTGCAGTGTTGGCTAGATTGGCATTTGTAAATAATGTAAATTTTAAATTTACCTTCTTACATGCTGTGACACAGCTGCCCAAACTGCTTCCTGAACTGTCTGTGCCGCTTCCTTGGTTTTCTGAGACTTCATACATCAGTGGGCATTCAAAGTTGCTGAAAAAAGAGAACAATAACAACAAAATCCTTCCAATGACTCATCTATGTAAATAAATTAAAATGATTGCAAAAATACAGCTCAATTTCAAGAAATGTATCTTAGCCCAGACTTCACCAAGTTCTCTGTAGGCTGATACTGCTAGTCCTGAGCTGTCATATTGTGATTACGAAATGGCACCCTGAAGCCTTTTTAAAGAACAGAATACAACACGTAACTGGACATAATCACGTATCCTCATCTTTAATGATATATCATAAAATGTGGTGCTATCACCTCTTTCTAAGCAGAGTTTTGAGAGCAAATGACATGCTTGGAAGACTAATATAAAAGAAAATGCATGTTGTACCATATTACCTGCTTGGCATCTGAGAACTGAGTTAAAGAGCATTTATTAAAATGCACTGAATGCAATGGGATTGACTGAATTACAAAGTTCCTCTCTCTCAGAGATTCCTGAATTTTTTTTTATTGCATACCCCTTTCCAGAATTACTAGCTGCCTGCATCCTGCTACCTTCATACATATAATATTTTAACCCCTTAAATGCCAATTATACTGAAAATGAAATCCACTATTACACAATTTCTCCCGCATACTCCCAGAGATGACTTGCATACTCCCAGGGGCACGTGGAGCACAGTTTGGAAACCCCTCGTCTACCTGGTCTGTGGAACTGTAGACTTACAGCAGCAATGGCAGTTGCACATAGATTTTGTGTTATGTCTTGAGTTCATGCTGCTCAACTCTGCTTACTGAAGGAACATGCAGATGTGAAAGACAAAGTCATGCAAATCAGGCTCCCCAATCACAGTATTTATACACACAGCTGATACTAATCGTCACACATTGCTTTGGATTAGCTTAATTAGATCCTATAAAACATCAGACCTCTATCTAAATAATAATTAATATCAAAGCATAGTAAGTTAACTTCAGTGAAGTCAAACTAAATCTCTCTTCCTGTGCATAATTTCTAACTGGCTAAGGATCATATGGTACAAAGGGCCCATCCCTGCCAACAATTACCACCAACGTCCAAAAGGTCTTTATGGTTAATTGTATTTCTGACTGCACTAAAATGTATGCAATGTAATGCTATCTACTGCGTTTGCTCAGCAACATCCCTTAAACAGCCTTAGAGAAGCGTAAGTCAGAAAGACCTGACCCAAAGTATCCTTGTTAGAAATCAGAATCTGGCACCGCATTTTAACTGTAGGGCTACAGACAGAAATTATGCATGAACCAGTGTAAGTGATTGGAAACTGGTTCAAATCTGTAATACAACAG